CTACTCTCTACCTATACCTATTCTAACCTAATAGTCTCACACCTGCTCGCTTATAAACCACGTTATATAAAAATAATACTCTAATATTACGTTAAAGTACTAAATTATATTAGCTAATAGCTATATATACTAGAATAATAAAAATAAGTTAGTCGAATATTCGAGTGGTATGCATTTTAGCGTAGATTGAGATCTCCTAGATCTCACGTGACGTTATCGATGCGCTTACGTGACGTTATCGACATCCCAAGCCTGGTTTGGTACTACCACACGGAAGGAAGATACGTAATCTCCTTCTATTCCCTTATTGCACTTGCTGAAGAGATTGAGAAATAGGGAAAATAATAAGTATGCGATATGAGAGACTATCTTGTCATTTAATACAGTGCATTACTATCTAAGTTTGAGAATATGCTAGGGAAGAGCTTGTCTATTATTCGCTGTGTCCATCCCACTAATGCATCGATGCATAATATTGCACGCGAAATGCAAAGAAATCGGTATGACCTGTCGACGCTTAGAGGGAGTGTCAGTACGAAGAGAACGGCTCTTGAAAATTAAAGTATAGTTATTAACGACAATATTATCTTCGATATGGAAAATGGGGTATTATATACCAGTTGCCTAAACGCTAGTAGATGCATAGTATGAGAAAGTTGAGCTCGGAGTCCGTGGCGATGTTCAAACTCTTTGTTGTGGCGCCATGTTATTTAGTCTGAGTCATAGCCTACTAGTGCTGATAGCAAAGCAGGTTTCTTGGCTGAAGTCGTATCACCAGTTTCCACTGGCAACGTTGTAGAGACTTCTTCTTCAGCTAATGCATCTCGCTTCCTCTTTAAAATGCCTAGGTTGATTCTCGACGCCGGTCCGCTGTCTTTTGATAGGAAAGGGTTAATTGCTGCTCGCGTATTGCCAATCAGCGTTTGTTGCAACCCTTGTCGGCTTTTTTCTGCTGCTAACTCTGCCTTGAGCTTTCTTGTCTTTGCAATGGGCTTAATAGCCTTGGTAGTGTCCTTCTCCTCGAAAATTAGTTTCCACGACTGTTGCTCGAGTTCTCGGTCGCCCGAGGCGCTTGCACCAAAATCGACCAAGCCGGCACGCGTCCGGTCTGCCTCTGTCTCGTCCGCAATATCTAATCCAAGACTAAACTTTGCTTGTATACCCTCTTTTCGCATATCTTCCTTCTTCCAAGTCTTTCTCTTCGCGCGAAAGTCTTTCCTGAGACGTGCGTTCACGTCGTATGGGTCTCGCCAGACTTCGCTTTGATCGTAGAGTTCCTCCACCCTTTCTCTGTGTTTCTTTTCCGCGTTTTTGTCTTCTAGTTTTCCCTCGAGGCTCGCAAAAGCATCTTCCCTCTGTCTCTGGCGCTCTTCATCGGTCAAGAATTTAAGCTCTCCCTCAGCTTCTAGTCCTTTGTCTCCCGGCCCGTAGTCTCGTCGCCGCGCACCCTCGACGACTTTGTACTCGCTATTCTTTGGATCGGTCTGAATCTCCCACCATCCACCGCAAGCACTGTGCTTCATGCGAAAACTCCATATTGGTGTGCTATAATAGTTGCCTATCTTCTTCTTTTCGGCATTGAAACGTACACCTTGGCCTATGATGGCCGGAGGAGTGCAGTGGTCGCACCACACGGCAAAGGGAAGCTCGAAGCGAACAGTGAGGATGCCCTGGGAGATCTTATTTGCGCGTTTGCCGAGAGGATGCGAGTTGTTATTGAAGCTCGGCGGGTTGGAGGCATCGGGCAGGTAGTACCGCCCCATGTTGAAGCCCTGCATCGTTGCGGGCTGTGATGCAGGGAGGGCGCGACGTGCGCTATGTCATAGGGAGCCGGTGTGTGAACAGCATGAGGTTAGGCTCTCAGTGCGGAAAAGACGTTTGGCCGCGGAGGTGGATGACATAAGCAGCCACTCCGATCAGCTGCATCGTCGTCGGTCTCCAGTCATGCCGATGACCAGATAGCTGCAGCCTTGCTATACCCAAAAGTGACCTCACCCGCAAGTTGCGAATCGGTGAATTTACTTACAGTTGCTCACATCTCAACGCCCAAGCTATGGCTAGCGGCGTAAGAAATTACTGAACTTGGAAATTGATTTAAGGTTTCTCGTTGATTGTAGCACTAAAAGGCTTGTCTCTTTCTGTGACAAGATTAGGGCCGAAACGGCCAGATATGCCCAACCTGAGTTTGCATGCGTCATTTCCAAGATCAGGGCTTCAACGTGCAACTTTGGTGGGAAGCAATAAAAAAATGCGCTTAATCATATTCTTTTAGATGGCAGGTTGTTCTTTTCCTCGCATCCAAGACGCCATGCAGCTGGTTATCAGAACCAAGAGTAGTCGCGTCGCCTATATCATAACCTTGTCCTTCCTTTTTCCTCCATCTGACACGGTCGAATAATTTAAGCTTCGGGGTCTGTGATGAGTTTTGTGATCTTTCCAATGGCAATCGTTTGACCCTGGTCACGGAGAGTGAAACGACCAAGCTGAGGGTAATCTTCAAAACGCTCAACACAAATGCTTCCAGCCGTGCCGGTAATCTGCAATCGTGCAATGATGCTCATGCCCTTTGTTGCAAATCCAGGCGCCTTCTTTGATCGTCTTCCTGTACCCTTCTCGAGCTTGTGCAGTAGTGCGCTAATGGTGACTTCTTCTTGTGCTGCGTGGACGTGAAGCACACAGTTGAAACCAGCAGTTACGATTGATTTGATGTCCAAAAGTACGACTTGGGCCTCAAACTGGGAAACGCAGTGAACGGGTCGCTTAGGTGAGCACAACACGTAGCCCTAAATAGTTGCACACTCAGTTCCCAGCTCAGTAATCCAGTCACAAAATTTACTTACGGGCAAGATATCTTCTTCTTCTACACCTCGAATTCGAACACGAATTTGGTCGCCGCAAGCCGCGCCAGGAATTTCGTCTTCCTGCTCACCGAACAGGGCGGAGATGTGAATGGTTTGTCGGTTGGGCATCATGAGGTACCTTGCAATTGTCAGCGTGTTTCAGTTAGTCCTCGTACAGGCGACTTACTTGTTCTCCTTCTTGATGATACCAGATTCGATCTTGCCTTCAATCATGGTGCCCATGTCCTTGTACTTTGCGGCAATGGGCATCATGAAGGGAGCATTGAGCTTGCGCTCAAGGGCCTGCATATTGTCCAGGTACTCAAGAAGAGATGGTCCATCATACCAGGGTGCAAGATCCTAAGTAAAAATGTCAGTGCAGCCACTAACTTCGTTCTCTATTTGTCTTACCTTGGGCACACGGGTCTTGATGCCAGTGAAGGTCTGGGCGCTGACAGGCATCATGCTGATGTCTGTCTTGGGGTTGTATCCGAGACCCTTCAAAAAGGCTACGACCTTGGTTGTGCACTCCTTGAATCGATCCTCTGACCATTCAACAGTAGGGTCGTCCATCTTGTTTACGACGATGAGAATCTTGTTCACACCCTGCGTCTTGGCCAACATGGCGTGCTCTCGGGTTTGGCCACCCTTTTCGAACCCAGTTTCGTACTCTCCCTTTCGAGCAGAGATGACAAGAATACCGACATCTGCCTGTGAAGCACCACTGATCATGTTGGGAACATAAGTCTTGTGGCCAGGGGCGTCGAGAATTGAGTATCGTCGCTTGTCCGTCTCGAAGAAACCTCGACCAACTTCGATAGTCTTACCCTGTGCGCGCTCCTCCTTGTTCAAATCGAGCGCCCATGAAATGTACCATGTTTCTCGACCAGCATCCTTTGCCTCCTTCTTGTACTTGTCAAGGGTTCGCTCATCAACCATGCCAGTGGTGATGAGGATACTGCCACCCAAAGTAGACTTTCCTGCATCAACGTGACCCAAGAAAATAATATTGACGTGTTCCTTGCCGTATATTTCGGCAAGAGTCGCCTCGTCGATGTCGGCAATTTCGTTCTCAATGTCTGGTTGCTTGGCCATTGGCCTGTCAGGGGCCTTCTCTTTGGGGATTGGGCTGTTGCGACCTGACGAAGGGGTTGGCGAAGTACGGCCAGAACCTGCTGAAGCTGGGGTGGGTTCTCCCGTCTTCTCAATAGCCTTTGCAGCAGTCACCTTGGTTCCAGCATCAATGGTTCCCTTCTCTTTGTCGGCCTTTTCCTTCGCAGCGGATAGTGCTCCTGGTGTGCCGAGGCTGAGGACTTTGATTCCGCCTGCCTTTTCGACCTTTGGAGTAGTAGTGTCGCCACCGATCGAGAAAACCTTGGCCTTGGGTGCACTGTCGCCGCCAATGGACAACACCTTGGCCTTGGGTGCCTCCTTCTTGGCTTCAGCAGCGGGTGCGGCGCCCGCTGAGCCGGCAACGTCTGTGTCTCCTCGCTTCGCTATCCGCACTGGAGCCTGGCCTTGGGCTTGTTGCTGCTGCTGGGGCTGGAAGTTCTGCTGGCCCTGGTACTGGCCGTAGTTGGGATAGCCCTGTTGCTGGCCGTATTCTTGGCCGTATTGAGGGTATCCTTGTTGCTGCTGGTAGTACTGGCCCTGGCCTGCGTACTGGTTGTATCCTCCATACTGCTGGCCGTACTGATTGTAGCCGCCCTGGTAGCCTCCATAAGGCTGGCCAGGCACGAAGGAGCTCGCGCCGGGCTGGAATGACTGCGCTCCAGGGGTGAAGGTGGGCGCATTGTTGAGGTTCATGCCCTGCGCCTGCTGTGAGAGGCGCTCCTCCTCTTGCTCCCAGTTGTCTGCCATGGTGATGGCGCTTTTTTCTTTAAGAGGTGAGGGCTGAGTTGGGGCGGGGAATGCGCTAATGGCCGGGGATGGTGGGCGTGTGGGAATGCGCAGAGAAGCCGTATAGGTGTCTAGGCAGCCGAGAAGCGACGTGAGGGCTAAATAGGCTGGCGATTGAGTGTCGTCGGCGAGAAGCGAAAATGTTGCCGTGTCGTTGATGCCCACGCAAGGATTTGGCGGGGTTGTTCGCAGTGGCGCAGTGGGGCTGACTCAGGCTTGAGCTGCTCTCGCTGCCTAACATTGGCCAGGGCGCCCTCGCTGCGACTGGCACCGCAACCAGCAACCAACAACAAAGCCGCTCACAAATAACAAGCCATGACCCAGCCTTTTTCCGTATCCTTCTAGCATTTGGTCATACTCTTCGCCTCCTCTCCTCGCAGCTTGCCCATTCATCCGGTCCCATGATCTCATTGCTGGTCTTGAACTGTTTGTTCGCCGCGCCCGCATAGTAATCCTCCAGGCGACGCTCATCTTTATTGGTCAAGATGGATGTCCTACTCTCAAAGGTATGGCTGTCTTCCGACTCTTCATACGCCTACAGATGACCGTAGAGCTGCATGTTCGTTCCCTCTCGCTGTCAGCAAACTGACCATATGCCAGGTCACGCAGCAGGCTATGAGCTATGCCATCAGAAGCGGCATAGCAATCACCAGTCACTATGCACTCAAGCAGTGTGGCCGTCTGATGAAGACTGTCGATGGCCAAGAGAAGCAGGAGCTCGCTGCCCTACAGATGAGGTTGGATTCCAAAATCAACATCATTTCCCCTGCCATCGACATGATCGAATTAATTGCAGCACGTGGCAACACATCGCTGGAATCCGCCGTTGGCCTGACCAAGTCGCTGCGGTGGGAAATCCAAACACTAGGCAGTCGAGTTGAGAAGGCCGTGGCCGAGGAACAGCTCACCAGGAGAGGGAGCTCGAGAGCAAAGTCACGCGACCAAAACATCATCGAACTTAAAGTGATTATTGGAGACATGAAGCGACTGTTGGAGCGCATCGAGGATGCAGTGCCGCTAATCAACCTTGCCATCACCACATCTGGTGTCAACCTCTCCACAACGCTACCAGCTACAGTGTCGCCGTCAAGGCTGCTGCAAGCAAGTACTTTCCTTACCTCTGGTGACATGCAGTACTGTGCAAACAAGCCTAGAGCCCAGCAAATTGGACCAACATTTACCCTATCCATGTACATGTTGTTCTCTGGTCATGCAAACAGACCTCACGAAGAAGATTTGCGCGAGACGACTTGGAAAGAAGTCATGCACAAGGCCCGTGTCACACTCATGAGGGTGCCGCTGGACAACGTTTACGACTACCCTAAACCTTTTGGACAAGATAGTAGCCGAGCTGATGAATCAAGCCACCGTCATATACCATCTGAAAGTTTTTTGCAGGAATTTGCATATCAGCTGCTCATCGTTGAGGACTTGGACGACGGCCGCATGCACGAGTACGAAGATGGCGAGCCACAGCCCGAGCCCTATGACGGCATTCGTGAAGCTGGTGTCAGAGAGATCATACCCATCCACGAAGTTGCCAAAATCTTCTATGCCGATACCGGCAAGATTCTTAACATTGGTGCTGACGGCAAGAGCAACAACCCCATCTTGCTACTCAAGAGAGACGTCAATGCAGCACCCCCGCGGCGCATGATGGAGCGAGATACGGACGATGCTAATTACGAATCCGATGATTCCCATACTATCGGCGGCGATGAATCAGATCTAGAGCAAAGTCAGCTCGAAGACCAACTGCGACGCGAATCAACTCCAAACCCAGAACCATCAGCTCCACAAGAGTCAGAACAGCCAAGATATCCCTGGCGTCTACCTCCCACTCTGGATCTAGAATGGATGGCCTTTGAGGTGTACACTGAAGACCCATTGTCCGATTCAGAGGTCGATGAGACAGAGGACTTGGAAGAAGAGGTCTCATCGCCTACTCCAGCCGATCGGTCAGTCCACGACGACCGTTCAGACTCTTCCTCTTTCCTCGGTCGCTTCTCAAACCTTAATCTACAATCCAGCACACCCACAGACTCACCAAAGTCCACGCCACATAATCAAATCATTCCGTCACCGGAGAAGGTCTCAG